TATAATAACCGCCTACTCAATGAGAAGTCATCTTTGATGTGGTCGATAATGGTCTCTGAAGATGGCCTGTGGAAAATGATGTGTGCAATATAATGTTCTGGGTCTCTTTGAAATACACACACCTGTCGCTAAGATCTTAGCAGAAAGATCGTTTGATGGTGTTGCTGGAGTAAAACTAGAACTTGGTACTGCATGTGTTCGGATTCCTCAAATAGATGTTAAAGATGTACCAGATACAAACTGGAAACCGTTTTTAAAGCTTTTTTGGTAAATAAATGATTAAAGAACCTTTTAGATTGCGTTTTAAAAGCTAGCTGGTGTGATAGCGTATTTTTTGGTAACTTTGTCAGGGTTTTAAATAAGCTGTGTTTAGAAACCTCTTGAGTTTTAGCTCACCTGCTTATTCTCTCATGGTTTGGTATTGTTGATTGGATGAACTAATAGCATTCAGACTCGTGCTTTGATTCAGCCTCCTTATTAGAAGTTGTTACGCTTTTTTTGCAGTCACGAAAATGTGAGGAATATTTGTTATTCACACAAGCAGCTCATCAAATGGCTTGACTTATGCCACATTTCAAGTCAAAACCACCGTACCTACTCACCTGAGCATAAAATTAGCAAATACTTCATTTTAAATTCTTATGGTCTGATATAAGGTGTAAAATTGCTAATTATTCCCATTAAAGAATCTTTAAAAAATAACTACTTTCTTCTAGGAACGCATCCACAAAGGCAGTTTTAACATAATTATTTTTACCATCGATTTGGTTTTATTAAAAGCCATGAAAATAAAGCACATAAACAGTGAATCAAACAAAAGCATTGAATATTGACTAAGATCCATCACAGGTTCCTGCTGCTGTGTGCTTTTTAATTACATTTGATTTCAGGACAATGCTAACCTTATCTCTGTCGAGCACTAATTCACTATAAAATGCCAGTCTAAGCCTTTCATCATTTCTCCATTGTTGTTGTCGTATTGCCTGAGCTGCCTGATAGGAGACAGTGGTAATTAAAACACAAGGCCAGATGAGCAGAGCACACAATAAAAAGATTCCAGGACGAACCAAGGTGCCGCGCAGGCCGATCCATTTTAATTCTGGCCTGGATTCATTTGAAAATGCTCAGGTCAATCAAGAAGATTCATTCCTTCGGCTGTGTGTAATGTCATATTCATCGATCCCCAGATGTTACTTTATGCACTCGTGTGGATACATTTATGTTTCTGAAACTGCGCCGTGAGGAATTCATTAAGTATTGATCCGTTTTTAGCGACGCACGGTCTGATAGCTGCCTCGTCTGGAGCCAGGTAATCAATTCTGCACCACTCAGAAGCACATGCCCTTTACTGTGTTATTGGGATGCATCTACATTTGGCAAAAGTCTATTTCTATTGCCAAGTGTCTTTAAATGAAGAGGCAGCAAAGACACCCTTTGTGCTCAGGGATGGGATTTCCCTGCAGTTTTTATCTTGGCGGCTTCCTTGTTTGGATGAGGTTTGGTTGTCTCTGCACACCCTCTTCCCCTCCCTCCTACAACAACTGTCTGATGGCCTCCATTCCTCTCTGCGCTCTGATTGGTTGCCGGTTAGTCAGCTGCAGCCAATAAGCCTTGCTGAAAATCTCAGTGTCTGGTGCTAGGCAGCAGAATCAACAGACAGGTGGGTCAGGCCCTGGCTGTAAGCTTTTAAAGCAACACGAGAGCCCGGGGTATCTGTCCCTAAACATCATTCTGTCCTCCTAAAGAGTCCATATTAGTGAGCATTAACAACTGTCCTCTAAAGCCAGAATGTTGGCATTAAGCCGTATTTGATTACACATTCATTGAAGCTTGTATGCCTTTGATTTTGCAAAATCGAACGTTTCGGGGACGTCGGTTTAGATCCTGCCCCTGAACCTTTTAAGCGTATAATCCCTAACCCCCTTTCAAATCTATCACTATAATAAAGACTAAACTGGCCAAAAATGATCTAAAAAACGGAATGTTCCATAATGGAATCACAAACCTGATCTCATTTCATTTCTGTTTTGCTTCTAGTTTATGCACTTGCTGTTAATGTCAACACATCCTATTTGTTCTAGCGTTGAAGTCATATTTCTGTATTTGTGAATCCTGTTTGCTGGCTGGGCATTGAGCCTCTACTGGGGGAACAAAGTAAATTCTGTGTGCAGCCTCAGCCATCTTATTACTAGTTTGCAGTATCCTTTCTTCCAATATTTAAAATGAATGCACAGTTATCCAAAATATTATTCAGGACATTTTTCATTTCAGCATTGTGGGTTCTGTATTGTGTTATTCTATCCTTGGCAAGTCAAGTCACATACTGAAACACAACAACACGTCTGGATGAGTTTGTCTCTCATTACACTGAACTCTACAAACTTCTGTCTGGATGAACCTGTTGACTGTTTATCCATCATAGCTTGAAGCAACATTAGTTTGATGGAGATACAAGTTTTGAGCCAAAAATAATAACGTGTCTGTGCCTGTGGAGAATAACACACACACAACTCTTCCTTCTGTATGAGCTGCCACTTTGCAGATTTTGGTAAAAATAACACATTGTTTAACTTTTGGATGTAGAGCAAAATGCCAATCATCGAGTGAACAACTCCTGATGAAAACAACATTACATTACATTAAAGTACAGTGCAATAAACCATCAAGATACAAACTCAGAACAGCAAGATACATGATACATTTGCTTACAGCCAAACTGTAAGTGCTCGTGCTTAGAGATGTCTGGCCACTTAGCCTATCACGTACAATGTGTTGGAATGACAGCCAATAGAAGCGTGAGTGTTACAAAGTGATGTCACTATGATAAGGCAGTAAACAAAGGAGTCCAATGGAGGTGCTTCAGGTCGTGAGAGAAACTCCCTCTTGAGGGATGTTAGCCTTTGCAGACCATTGACATGCACAGAAACCTATATAACACAATACAGGAAAGGGAAAAGCCCAAAAAGCATAATAGGGCCTCTTTTAAGCATGCTATACTCAGCCACCCCTTTGTTGTCCAGAGGACTGATATCTTTGGAAATGTAGATCACAAACTATCAGATATTATGCCTCAAAAAGATGAATAACCACTCCGTCCAGCCTGTAAATTGCCCTCATCTGATCAATTAAGTGATTTACAGTGATTATGGCTAACTAACAACCCTAACTGAAGCTCAGAATAAATGAAAAGCTTTGCAGAGTTTACACAGTAAAGTGATTTTAGAACAATTGACAACGGCAATTATACTCGCAATCCTTTGTTGTCCAGCATTCTGATTATATTTCTATAATTATGTAGTCATTTGAAAAGTGAGCCTATGATGACGTTTAGACTCAGGCTCAGTGTTTTTGTTACAGATATTCTTTTATCAGTGTTATTTTCTGTAAACTACCCCCAGTTTAAATGATGAAGCTCTTCATATCTGAGCTCATGTTGTTTGTGTCTCTCCCTCCTCCACTGACTATAGATTTTTCACATCTCATGTATTACCATGTTGAGAGGTCTGTCTGGTTTGTTCACCCCTGTCTCGTGTGCAGTGGTATATCCAATGCTCAAGGGAAGACCCCCTCTTCCATTCTCATTTGAACTTTGACCCCGCCTCCTGCCTCTCAGGATATGAAATGACCCTCTCAATGGGAGAATGTTTTGGAACTGTGTCAGATGAGACTGTTTAATGTAGGCTGGAGCAGAGGGCTGCTTGGCCATTTTGTAGAGAGAACTAAAGGCTCTGTTTAAGCTAAGCTATCATAAAGGAGATCATGTCAGTTTTCCTGTAATCAGAAATATTTTGGTCCGATCCCGTGTCCAGATATATTTAAATCTGGAGGAGTTCATCTTAGTTTGCCTTGCATTCAGTCGCTTGTATTTACTGTAATTGTTGGCATCAGAGCTGAAATCTCAAGCAACCAGCACGCCCCTAGAGTTGACTTTGGAAAGCATTAAGCATTCCTGCTCCACACCATATTAGCCCCTACTTCCCCCACCTCGGGGTGCTGGGCAGCCTGCCAGGTAGAGGTTGCCATGACTCCTAACACCACCCTTCACCCAGCCCCCTGCCTGTCTAACATTTTGATTTAGACAAAAGATGTCTTCACAATGTCAGCAGAATATTTACTGGGAATGCTGTGGCTTTCTGGTAGGAAATCATGTGATCACTCCTGCCAAGGTTTTGTGATGGTGCCAGGCGAGAGCGAGTTAGACACACAGAGGGCGAATAGAAGGAAACAGGGAATAATGATGCCGGCGAGACGTTTTATCCGGTTTTTCCTTCTCTTGTTCTTGTTTGTTTGGGAGAAAATGGCGTTCAGAGCACCGCTGGAGTTAACTTGTATTGTCAGTGCCTCTTGATCTTTCTTTGCATAACCAAAAAACTGATCAAAACTAAATTAAAACCCAACGGTTGTAACGCTCGCAGAAGGATAGGGAAATAATACATTAGACAGGATAATAGAAATCTGGGTAAGTGGAATTCTCACTCTTACTTTGTCGCACTGCGGCCGGTGGAATACGGCTCTCTGACACTGGCACGGTTAATGGTAGCTCCCCATGGCATGCTTGATTTCACTGGCATCCCTCTCAGGCTCGGCTCTCTGCGGTCTTGGCTAAGTTGAGCTAACCTCTCACCGCAGCCTGCTGCTGGCCAGGAACAGCACTGCTATGGCAATCCTGCGGCTAGTTTAGCATAGCAACACTTACAATTGTTATTGTTATGGACCTTATTTCATATCTAGGAACTGCTGAGTCATGCGATACTCCCAGACAGGGCACAGAAATGTATACATGTTCAGTAATTTGTGTTTAAATGTCGCCCCCCTCTCCATGTGGATCTGGTGTTGTCCGAAGTTATTAGCATGTACTGTAGCATGCTCCTTTCTCACATCATACTTCTGTATGGTTTCTATTGCAGTTTACTGAAAGTTGCTAATATTTCATAAAGTGCTGTCCCTTATTATCCATCAGTGTGTGTGCGTTTTTAACTTTCTTTGTCCTGTTTTTACAGAGATTGACCATGGCAGCAAACCCCCCCGAGCGAGACACTTCCCTGAGGGGTAAGTTATCACAATGCTTTCACCATCTGTCTGATGAACTTTCATTTTTTGGCTGAATCTCAACAAATGCTCCTTCTGCAGTTTCTCTAAATGTCAGCTGAAGTGAACCGACTTTCCACTCACTGTCACTTTTCGCCACACAAGAGAAGGACATTTTGAGATAGTAAGTCACGCCTGTTAACTTGTATAGCTCTTTGTCACATTATCAGAGACTACAGTGCTTAGACTTTATGCTTTATTTAATTATGTTCATACTTTGGCTATAACCATTTGGCACAAACCCGTAGATCCGATCTTGTGGCGAATCTGACAGCACAAGCTCGCCTCTGTGGGTCTTTGTCATCGTGGTGTGAACGTCGCCTTTAAACCCTTTTTTGAATGTTTCGCTTTAAAACGTAGGTCCCATTTATGATATGAAGTGTACATTGTATATTAATCATATGTCCCATGTACATAGGAAATAATTATCTTGACATATTATGCTGGTGGTAATGCTTTGTGTTAGATAAGAACGACAAAGAGTCCTTATGACTAAAGAATGATATACTATGAATAGTAAATAAAAAAGGGGAACCCTAGTTGAAAATGTGTGCATCCGGGTTGAGGTAGTAGGTTGTATGGTTTAGAATTACATCCTGGGAGTTAACTGTACAACCTTCTAGCTTTCCTTGGAGTACACGTATGACATCAGTCTTTTGTTTATAATGCAGTGTTAATGGTCTTTGTATTAATGTGATCCATGCTCAGTTAAGGATCTGATTTCATAGCTGACCTTCAGCCTGCTGCGGCTCGAAACCTTCAATGAGCGTTAACTTGACGAATGCTGTATTTTTAGACATAATGCATTATGGTTAGTGGGAGTAACCACGCAACATCGATTGCATCATGGTGTTCCTTTAACTGCAGTACACACACAAACAAAACTAGATGCAGTCTACTGTTTTCCTTTGTCTGCATGACATACGACAAAAGTCATGTTAATAATAGTATAGATTGTTAAATAGGCCCAATTACGATGATGTGAAATTGCTGAAGCAACGCTGTACATTTTGGGTTACTAAAATGTTCTTTTGCTGCTTCTGTAACGGTGAAATTTAGTGTAAAAAGAGTGTTAGAATCTTGTAACTGGGGTTTTTATACCGTCTATGTTAAACGTTACTCCATCTTTGGCCTGTAATACAGTGTCAGTGTGGCATCTTCAGTCCAGTGTGAGCTGTGCACCAAACATCATGATGTACTTGGTTTAATACAAAGACAAAATAGGAAACATAATAATCTTAATAAATCCCACTTGTTGTGTTTAACAGGTTCCCCATGTGTATTCCAGGCCCTGTGGTTTCAAAGCATTGCTCTTTGCACATTACATTTGTATATTTTCCTACAGCGGACTAAGGTTTGAGGTACATTTCCCCAGGATTTTGGTTTTATTCAATTCAATTCAATTCAAAACCTTTATTTATCCAGGTAAAATCCCATTGAGATCAATGATCTCTTTTTCAAGGGAGACCTGCAGCAGTAGGTTCCACAAGAAGACATAAACAACAGAACAACAAAAGGACATTATTATTATTGACATAACAAACATATTTAAGGCTGTTTGCCCCAGGAGAACTCAGCAATATGTGTTATGATATTTATATGTTGTCTCTGGGCCTTATATGATATACTGTTCAAGTTCAAAACAATTCGCTTTTGTCGTTCGGAGGTTTAGTCTCAGGTTTGGGCTTGACTCAGTGACTCTGAAGTCTCTGGGTGTTTCTCAATGTCGAGGACGCTTTCTTGGAAGCACATGTCTTCCGAGTCACTTGCTTCAGAAGCGAGGCAAGAATCCTTCCTAGCCTCGGAAAACGAAGAATTGCGCAACAGGCTAACAGGTGTGCAGGTGTGCGTCATATGTGAGGCCCCGCCTTAAATGGAGCGCGATTTCCGCCAAAGATTTGTAAATTGGTCCGTGCGCAAAGCATTGTGGGGATTATAAGACCGGAGTCTACACATGTGCAGCCTCGAAATTTCTCGCTACGAAGTACGCCGGCCTCGGTAGAATTCCAAGTATGCTTGACATTGGAACAGTCCTTCGGCGGCACTCGATGACGTAGTATGCTTGAAATAGTGGCTCTGGAGCAGCCTTTACTCGACATTGAGAAACACCCTCTGTTTCTGGTAGACTTGTGCACTCGGCTGAATGCATCCAACTTCATATTTTTCCGGCACAGAGCCATGGCTTGTAAAATGACTCCAAAGCAGCACACAGCAGAAAAGTGGCAACACATTTCAAGACAACGCTATTTAAAAAAAAAAAAAAAGGATTTGAGTAGGTTGCATTGTTTTGTGAGATGGCACAGCTTTTGCTCTTTAAGTGGACATCTATTCGGCAAACTTTATCATTATTTCTAATTGGTTTGGGTATTTGAAATTGCCTTTGTATTCATATGAGCCAGATGTGTTGTTGTACTTTAAAAATCCATCTGAATCCTATAATCATACAATTATCTCTAGACGATTTGCTCTTCCCTTTGGCTAAAGAACTCAAACTTATAATAATAACCAACTGAGGGTTAGTGAGGAATGTAGGTCACACTCCCAATGCCGTACATCATGGGACTAACAAACCAGTCTTCGAATTTCATTTCCTGAAATCATCTTGGACCTGTGAACAGCCCTGGAAAACCCCATTTGTGTTTCCTATCAGAGCACAAACTGAATGGGATCAAGTGGAAACAGTCATTTCTTTAGATCAGGAAAGTAATTCAATCTGGAGAGATACTTACACCTCTATTGAAGCTGCTCGGTCTCGCATCGTCATTGTCGTCAAACAAGTTTCTGTGAGGGAATCTGAGCCCGGTAAATCCCTGGAAACCCAAGCACTCCTTTTATCTCTTATGTCAGGAAGCTCACTCCTCATCATTTGACCCAACATAAACAGTGTTGCTGGTGATGAAGAGTTGGTGGCTCAAAATTCTTCAAATAATCAGAAATATATGTCATTTTTTATTTTTTGTTTGTGGTCACAAAGCATTTGTATATCATTTTGGTCAGTTAACAGTTTAACTTTGTTTAGTGACCCAACAATAGGGTCAACGTACCAGACAAGCTAACGTTCAATTACAAGTACAAAAAAATAAGCAAAACTAAATAAAACTTGAAGAAAAAATAAAACAGTAGACATGGGGCTTTTTCTGTGTAAAGGAAAAAAAGACAAAAAAAACAGCAGGGATTATACAACAGCGAGCGATCAGACAAGGGATGGTCGTCCCTGTAAAATATATTGCTTCCACAATTTCCAAGTTTTTTCAACAAATACATCATTTATTTAAAATTGTTGCTAGGTTTTTTACCTAAGCTTTCACAAATTGACATGGAGTGTTTATTTTATGAACCTTGATTTTCCTCCTCTCTCCTCACCTCTGAGCCCCAATGGTTCCTCCAGATGTGCGGAGGAGAGCGGTGCTGCCTCAGCACTCCCCTGTCCAGCAGCTCAACTAAAAGTAATTGGTTCCAGCTGCGCCTTTATTTATGGGATGGTTAAACAAATAAATGATAGGATTAGATAGGGGTGGCTCAAGTTCTGTCTCCAGTGCTACAACAACCCCTTTGAGAAGTCCGTTTGCCAAGAGTCTCAAGGTTCTTCAGCCGACTTTAAGCATTAAGAAAATAAGAATTGTCTTCATTGAATGTGGCAGCTAGAGTCCACATTTTGTGTAGCAGGAAGTGCCGTAATTAGGCTTGACAATCATTTGATGAGTCACCTTTATATTTTTTCGATGGACAAACAGAAAAAGCAGTTAACCATTAATAGAATAGAAAACCTTTATTGTCATTATACAAAAATATACAATGAGATTTTGTAGTGCAACGCTGTCACAGTGAGCAAACGAAAACAGGCACACAATAAACCTAAACTTTGATTATTTTGAACAACAATTAAAGCTATCTATGGTCTAAAGTTCTTAAATGAAATCTGCCTCATCTCATTACTTTCTTATTTGAACATTACATTACAAAGCGACTTACATACTCAATACTGTGGACAATCACCACAGGAGCAATTTGGGGTGAAGTGTCTTGCCCAGGGACACAACGAAAACGCTATCAATTAATTGCTTCCTCTCTTTTTTCTTCATTCTATGGTCCGTTGAATCAGCATTAGTTAGTCTACTGTCTCTTATAGCAAAGGCAAAAAAGTAGATGGAGAAGATTCAAAACTGCTTATATCTCTAGCTGAAGTAAACTCCTCAACCTAATGCAGCAAACAGTCCCTGAAGCCACTTTATTTCAGTGTCAGTGCAGTGGTTTGTTTGTGATCACATTGTGGATTACACTTTTAATTTATTTTAGACATCTGGGGAACCATATTTAAAAGGAATCGACCCAGCAGTCAAGGGTCATAAACTTCCTGATACTTTCTCTTCCTCAAGTGTCCGAGATCCATCCAAATCCATCACAGGAAGTGAAGCAATCTTTCACAAAAAACATGTCAAATCAGCCAATAGCCTCTTGCGCTTGTATCTGCTGTGCGTGCAGCCATTGGCTTCTCGTTGTTGACGTCACTCACAGGCGGAACCCTTGGTAACAAATCGTCTGAGACCAGAAACACTGTCGTTCCGGCCAGATTGCTACTTTAGCTTCCTAACTCATAAAACCTCCCTTCCCTATAAAAGCGAGCAGCCCCAAGCCCTATTTATTCCAAAGGAAACATATTCCCTTAATGTGCTGGGGGTTAATGGCAAATGAATAATCATAACACACCGATGGCAGACGGGGGGTGTCATCGATCTGTCTGGTGTCAGCCCCTCTCCGCCTGCTGCATCAGCCACTCTCCCCCTATTGATACGCTCTTGCCCCTTGACCCCTGGGACAGATCAATGGCATTGATTTGAGAAGGGCAGGGACAAGGTTAGGATCTGCTGACTGGCCGACAGCTAGTGAGACAAGACATGATCGTCATTAATGTCCGGCTGGCTGGCTGACTGGCTGGCAAGGCGCTGTGCATCACAAATGTC